CACACTGTTTACTGTCAGACACTTCCTCATTTGATGCAGTTGTCACACGTTGAGGTATTGAAAGGGCAGACAGAAGAAACTTTGCTTTGTTTTCTTTCTGATTGGTCATTTCCTCTGTGAAGATTGTTTGCACGTGCAAACATCACCCAAGTCAGCGATGTGGCTCGCTGGTGGTTTGTTAATTGTTTTTGGACAACAATGAAGCTCTACTGCACAGACAAATAAGCTAAATCAGGTTCGAGATTCACAATTGGATGACCTTGTGGTTTTATTCTCTGTATGGGATTTGTGGGAAAAAAATAGAAACCCACCTGTATTATCTTTTAGGGCCTGAATAAATAGAAGTTATCAGACACAGGTAAACACTCCTTTTGTTTTAGCCTTTACAAAGGCTAATAACAAAATTAAATATTTGTTTCCAATTAGAAATATTTTGGCATGTTGATGCAAAACCCTTCCAAGTTACCCAGTCGCAGAATACTTTGACTGCAAGGTAAATTGTAAACATATGTAGGAAGTTGTGCTGCACATCAAAAGCTTCATGTCCACATAATATGAATCTAGGTCTTTATATATTAGACTAAAGCCCCTTTCACCCATTTTGACCAAACACTGTACTTTCATTACTCCATGAACATACAGTATCAACCAAACAACATCCATCCATTATCTATACTTCTCATTCCTGAATAGGGTCACAGGGGGGCTGGAGCCAAACCCAGCTGACATTGGGCGGGAGGTGGGGCACACCCAGGACAGGTCGCCAGTCTATCACAAGGATGACACTTGGAGAAACCACACACACTCAAACTCACTCCTTCAGGCAATTTAGAGTCACAAATCAACCTACGCTGCATGTCTTTGGACTGTGGGAGGAAACCGGAGTACCTGGAGAAAACCCACGCAGGCACAGGGAGAACATGCAGACTCACCAAACAACATGCTATCCACATTTTTATCAGTCATAGTATTTAACCTATTTAAATGAAGATATTTGTCTGTAGGTTGTGTGGCACTCCTGACTGATTGCATTGAAAATTCCATGGCCTCTTGACTTTCTTGAATAGGTTTCTCAAGTTTGTGTTGATTGCATACATAATCATTAAATTATGGTGATGCTTCAAGTGAACTGCTCAGGGCATAAATGTTGTTTGCTAAGGCACCTTGCTCACTGTGACGCACTTCCAATGAATCTAGAAAGCCTTAAGGAGCTCCTAAAGATAAAAAACTAATCACGATGAAGAAAACATTCGTCAGGCACTCATAGTCAGAGGAAGGAGTAAATATGCACTGCATGCCTTTGGTTAGTTGTGCATGCAGTATATATAAATGATATTCGTGTAGAGTTCACTTCTGTGTTGACACCTCCATGTGTGGAGTGGTCTTTCATAGAAAAGCTTACAAAAAGACATTCAGAATTACTTAGAATTACTTTTAAAGTTTACTGTTCTTAAAAATAACAGACTATCCTTCTGAAGTAAGGCACAACAAGTATAAGTGCTTCAAAAGGTGTTATTGTAGCAAGCTGACGATTTGAATGAAAATTCTTTGTATGGAGTGAGTGAAAGGACATAGCTGTGATCATTCTCTTGTTGTTTCTGCTGAGAGCACTTCTCTTTGCTGTTCTGAAACATTCTGCTCAGCAAGACAAGCAGAGAAACTTACCCACTGTCTGACCGTGTTCAGGTGTGGGTTCTTGTATTGTAAAGAATAAAACTAGTCAAAATAATTTTGAAAACATATTTGGTACTAAAACATAAGTTAGCTAACCTTGATATTTGATAGTTATGTCTATATTTATTGTGTAGATCATATTGACCAATACATCTGATTGCTAATTTGCATGGTTTTAAATAAAATTTAAATTTAAATAATCTTTTTTGTATTTGTCCCGAAATTCATTTCAGTTATTAGGCAATAGCTGTCCAACTCACTTCTGCCTCTTTTTGTGTTCTTGCTTGTGTAACTCCATTATCTCCTTGAGGAGTCATTGTAGAAAAGCTTTTACCCATGTAAAAAAAAAAAGTCAAGAACAATGTAGTGTGTGATGGTTTTCATAGTGACTAGTAACAGTAATGTAATTGTTGGTGACTGTGTGAACACAGGGTATATGGGGCCCAGCTAATCATCTTGCAGGACATTTAAGCAGCGTGTGGGAGGCAGGCCCCATCCTGCAGTCTTGAGAACAAATATAATGCCATCTAATTTAGTTGCTTTTGATATGCTTCCTCTTGACCCACACATAACCCACTTAGGGAAACATTCACTCAGCATAGCAACAGCACAAACAAGATAGACACCACCATCCATTCCCCCACGGATGCATCTGCGAGTGTTTCTTCGCTTGGCACAGAACATTTAAATGTCAGTCTTGGACAACTTTAGTGTACTTCTCGCATTTCACAAGTTCTACTGGAAGGTTTGCCAAACTCACATTGTTGTGCTTACAGTCACAATAACATCCTGGAGCGTTAGTGAACCAAATCTGTGTTCTTGTCTGTAGTGCTGATAATGACAATAACATTATGATGGCCACTGTGAAGTTTTGTATTGACAAAATGTATTATTGCCACAAATAAAATCTTCAGTCAGATAATTCAGAATTTTGTATGGCTCACAACAAGTGTAAATGTATATATAATCAAGCAGCACTGGATAATGCTCAATGAAGACTTCAATCACATCTTACTTTCTGGTTCCCTGACCAAAAATATGTGGACTGTGCAGTGAGGGAGAATAGAACCACTGACCTCCTGCATGCAACATGAAGGAGCCATACAGCTCCTCTGTCTTCTGCCCACTTGGCAGATCTGACCACAACCTTATACATTGAGCACCGTGCTACTTTCTCGAACTAAAAGGAGCCTGAAGGTTTGGTTAAAGATTTTATGGGGTCCCTCAGGATTGTTTTGAAGTGACAGACTGGACAATTCTCTTGGAGGACCACAGTGAGAACACTGATGGTGTCTTGCACTGCTTTACAGGCTACATTAGTGTCTGTGAGGACAACATTGTACTGCCCCATATAGTACCCTGTTTTCCCATCAGTATTTCCCAGATTAACAAAAACAATAAGAGCCTCCTCAACAGGAAAAAGAGGGATGGGTCTGATGGATATTCTAGGGGACAGAAGTCGGTAACAGACTTTTGACTCTGTTCTCTGTACCAGTCACACATCAAAATGTGGGATGCCATGATGTACAGTGTCTACTCCCACCTGGAGAAACAAGGTATTACTGTGGAAGCACTTTTAACAGCAGTCAGCTGCATTTTCTAGATGAGAACCTCCTGGATATGCATATGAACTCCAACACTGTAGACTGGATTAGGAACCTTAAAGGCCCTCAGCATGTCTAAAGGCATCAGTAATGAAGAGTACAGAGACCTGATAAGAGAGCTTTACAGCCTGGTGTAACAGTAAGTGCTTAAAGTTCAATATCAACAAAACCAAAGAGCTGATGGTTCGAAGTTGCAGAAGGCTGCTGTCCCCTTTGTCACATCCTTGGAGAGGAGGTTAAGATTGGGGACCCACACCGGTACCTGAGGCTACCCATAACAATAATCTGGACTGGTCTACCAACAGGAGGAGGGGACAGTGCAGACTGTTCTTCCTCAGATAGTTATGCTCTTTCAGTGTGAGCAATGGGCAACTGAAGATGTTTCATCAATCTGTGTCCGCCAGTGTTCTGTTCTGTGCTGCAGCATGCTGAGGAGGTGGCATCATGTTTGCTGAGGCACTCGCATTCTGACTGATTAGGAAGTGGACAATCTGGCAGAGATGAGGTTTGGTGATTAAGATCAGGGCCATCTTCAGCAACCCCTCTATAAAGAACTGTGTCAAGGTTCTGACTCGGGGAGGACCCAAATGCAGATACGAACTGATGTTTGTTAACAAGCAAGGTTTAATATAGACAACAAAACAAAAAGACAAATATATCAACTCAAGAGCTCAACCTCACAAAAGGCAACACAACAGCATATAAAGAAAAAAGGCTAAACAGCACCATCAGGGAGCAAATAATGAAACTGTAAACATGTAGCACGACTAATGAACCAAGGGGTGCAAGGATCACAACAAACCAAAATCCAAAGGTAGTAAGCAGGAGTCTATATCATCAGAGTTCAAAGTCCCAAGTTAAGGCACAAGTGGGAGAGTCAAAGAACCTACTGAAGACAAGCAAAACAGGAGATAATCACATTGAGGTGGGTACAACAAGAGCAAAGCAGGGTGTGGTGGGCAGATGAACCAGCAAACTGATAGAGGGAAGTGAAGACAATATAGAGACATGAAGACAGTGAGCAACAGGCGAAGGCAATGAGTGTTAATCAATGGCCAGAGTAAAGCTGAGGCAGGTGAGATGACATGGAACAGAAAATGCTTTCAAAATAAAAGTGCAAAACAAGAAGTAGTCCCAAACTATGGCAGAGTTAAGTCCAATGTAAAGCTCATTCAGCCAGACTCGTCCCACCAATGAGCAAGGTGTAACATCCACAGCCATTAGGCTGTTCAACAGGAACTGTGGGAACAGTAAGAAGCACTGACAACAAGACCCATCCAAACCCCCCACACCTCTGGAATGTAAATACTTACATAAAAACTGTACAACCATTACTTTACCATTGTTTGTATTTATTTATTATAATGCATACTTTTCTTATTGGGTTCTGCTATTTGTATTTTACTGGGTTAATATGATGGCTGCTACGTAATCTTGGACTATTGGACATCCTGTGCAAATAATTTTACACAAATACCATAATGTATAATTGCTTAATTCTTTGTTTAGCTTTATTCTAATTAATTTTATTGTATTAAAGTGTACTATATAAAACAGATGCTCGGCTTTTATTACTACACTGTAACCAGCTTTTCTCAATGCTGTTATAAAACCTGAATTTTCCACTGGGGATTAGTAAAGTCTTATTTTACCTTACAAACAGCAGTTCCCTCTCTTGCAACCATAAAATAAACCTTTTGTCCTTGTCCTCTCTTTTCACAGAAAGCTGCCTTGGTTGATGGAGAGGCTGATGGGAAAGAAGTGAACAAAGGCTGCAGCAAAACTGAGAACTCCATTTCTGTCACCATGGAAACCAGCAAGCAATCAGAGCTGCTGATGGACTGCGAAGTGGAGGTCACCTTGGCTGATTCACCTGAGAAGAGGAAGGAGCAAGATTGTTTAGAGACAGAATCATCAGATTTCCCAGAGGAAAAGGCGATGCTTGGCACATTATTAACTGACTTGCCAACCGGAACGCTTGAGATTGATAAGCCTGACTGCTCTGAGACCAGTGACTGCACTGAAATTCTTTGTCAAAATCAAAAGGAAGTGTTGATATTAGAGCCACGATATGAAGAGCTCAACAGGAATGAGTCAATCACCTCATCTGTGTCTGACACACTCTCTAGTCCTGATAGTGTTTATGAGAACGAGGCCCATCTTAAGAGGCAAGACACACCAGGACAAGATCCTGAGCAAGAATATATCCCTGACCTTGAGCAGGAACCTGAACCAGATCAAAACTATCAACAAGAACAAGACCGTGAACCACAGCAATACCCTGAGCAGGAACAGGTCCCTGAAACAGAGCAATACCCTGAGCCAGAACAGGACCTTGAACAAGAGCAATACCCTGACCAAGAACAAGTGTCTGAACCAGAACTAAATCCTGACGTAGAACCAGAGCAATACTTTGAGCATGAAGACAACCTTGAACATGAGCAATACCTTGAGGTAGAGCAAGATATTGATATAGAGTTCTACCCTGATCCAGAGCCTGAGGCAGAGGATACTGAGTTTAATTCTGAAGATGATGGTTATAAAAATCTGGCAAGAGACACAGAGGAAGACCCTGAGGCCTGTGAAAACCTTTTTGAGCCACCCATTACAGAGAAGTCAACATTAGAAGAGTGCATTAGAGAAGAGATAAGGTCAAATGCGTCCAATGAATCCTGCCATGACCTTGACCCTGATGAAATGGATGAATGTCTGAGAGTTGAAATTGCAGCAGCATCCTCAGATAGTGAGACTGACGAAAAATGGAGAACAATATTCTCCTCTTCAATAAATAAAGAAGATGATGACTCCTATTTAGATAGTCTTCAGCTAAGTGCACAAGAGCTTTTTGTGCAGAAGGTTGAGGTTACAGACCTTGAAGTGCAAGACAATGATTATGAAGAGGTTTGTTTTGAAGTTCCACAAGTGGAAGAAGTTCTGGAACAACCTGAGGAAATAATTTACTTTCCCACTCCTCCACAAGAGGTTAAATATAACCCCTTAGGTCATCAGAGTTTGACCAAAATCTCTGAGGATGACAGTGAAAATGGTAGAGATGCCAGTCATAATCACGCTAACCAAAACCAGCAGATCAGTACAGATCCAAACAAGAAGCTGCCTAAAGACTTTTGTGTCATCCAGGAGACAAAGAGCGAGAATGTTAGTACAGAGCATGTCGACTTTCAGCTGGCTCGTAAACAGTGGCGGGAAATGGAGGAGCAAACCAAGAACAAGATTGTCTTACCTGCGACCAAGCCCAGCTTCCATGGCAGCCACAGCTTCATGTATACTCCAGTTCGCAACATTGAAAGAACTCATAAGAAAACACATGATATGGAGAACATAAATCTGGTTGGGGATTATTCACACACCCAGTTTAGCCCTTGCTCAGAGGATTCTGGCCTGGATGATTCCAGTTACAGGTCTCCATGTGATGACCCAGAAACACCGATTGAAAGAGAGATTCGTATATCAATGGAGAGGGAGGAAAACTTCAGGAGAGAGAGAGGCCTCTCCAGGATGGGTAAATCAACTGATTGTGCTCCATCACGGAGTATTCCCAGATCCAGAAGCACTCCACTCACACCATCATTCATTATCACCTCCTCACCCACTAAGGAACCACCGGAACGTGAAGTCTCAGCAAACAGCGTTATCATACTTGACCCTAACAACGATTTTACCTCCAGCCCCAGACATGGCAAAGACCATGTGGGAGCTCGGTCCACTGAGTGGCGTTCTGAGGACAGCAGCTCCAACCTCATCATCCTAGAGACATCCAATCTGATTATTCGCAGTGCCTCAGATTTTTCCCTCAACAAAGCCTGTGAGCAGCCCCAGGAAAAAATGTTCCTAAACAACCCCTTTTTCAAGCTGCGTTCAAGGAGCACAATATCACTGGTGGATGAAGAGATTAAGATGGTCAAGCAGAGGGAGGAGGAGCTGAAGAAAGAGAGGGCAAACCTGTATGGGCAAGAGGGCTTCAATACAGAAAGGGTGTCAAATCACATGGACACTTTGACATTTGACAATTCAGGTATGTCAGAAAAATACAGAGCTTAGGACAAAACATTATTTACAAGACTGTATTTTATCTCTTTATGTGTATATTTTAAACTAATGATGACCTCTGGTGCTTGCTTTAGTTGATGTACCAGTGAAGTGCAAGTCTTCTCCATCTTCACCAATGAAAACAGCCTACAGGATGGATCGCACTGTCTTGTCCTGTGATCACAGAGTAAGCTCAGCTCTAGCACAAACATTTTCTTTTTCAAAATCATATAAATCTGATTTTATGAACACAGTCAAAAACAATTGTGTATGCTTGTAAAAGAGGAGGTAAAGTAAATGCTTTAACAGCAGGTCAACTGTCTTTTTCAGTTTCCAGAGGCCACAGGAGGAAGACACATGAGTGCCATGGCTCTGCGCTGGGAGGTGGGCAACTTTACAAAAAAATGAATGAAGAGGAATAAATTAACCCTAAACCTAATCCTAATCCCAAATCATTCAAGTTAGAAACAGTGTTGCAATTGTTTGCTTCATGTTGTGACATAACCGAAACTCTCTGCTTCTGTGACGCTTTGGGCAAAAATAGCAAGACACTGACAATGTTTGTGGTCATATTAGTTGCACAGGAAAGAAAAGAAGCTGATAGAAAAAGTATTACAGTATGGACATGAACAACCCTTAGTTCTATCCAGAAGATATACATTATTTTCGCATGCTACCCACCCAGCTCTGAATTATATTTATATAGCTGGGAAACTGCTGTTTTTACTACTCTACAACTTGAACCAATTATTGAAGTAGTAAAGTAATGTTTATGACAAGACCTGCAAAGACGGTGTCAAGACAGGTTTTCCATTTAAATTAAATTGCAAAGATTATTATGGAAACAATGTATAATTATCTATTGAAAAAATTATGAATACATTAATACTAAATACTAATATTTTGAACTGTGACAAGTGGCCAGAGTATAAATGGAATAATTCTTTTTTGGTAAGTGCAGATATCAAAGGCAATGCATTCTACAGAGAAAAGCCCAAGTTATCATGCATAATAATTAATGATTGAATGTTTACTTGTGGATTATCCCTTAACTGTTGAAGAACTATTTAAAAGATCCAATCCAAAAGTGCCAAAGCTCAAAAAAATACTGCCATTAGAAGAAAATGATCCCTGACTGGGCATTCATTATAATCTTAATACAGAACTCACATGTCATATGTACACTACAAGAGTTATTGGTCAGTGTAATTAGAAAGTGCATCTGAGGTTCAGTAATGTGAGTCACACAGGTGGCCACTGAGTGTAGGTTTACTGCTAATATAACACTGCGTGTAGTGGTGTGCCTCCTTTGGACAGTGTTTTCTTTAATGTAGCCATTTAAGGTTTGAGGTAGAGCTCTTTAGATGCAGTGCTAAATGCTACAGTATGCTGTGTTCATGCAGCTAGTGTCTAAGTGTGACTGCCTGTTCTTTGGTGCCTGGTAGGTATTATATAGCAGTTTACTAGGATCTGACTACCCAATTCTGCTGGAAACTAGGATACTGAGAGCACTGAGATTGAACCAAAACAGTAACATATTGAGCCAGAAAACCAAAGTTTTGACCCAAAAGTTGCTAAAATAATATGTACAGCTGAGGGAAACTGCAAAGTTGGTGATTCTCTGTGGGTTTATCACTAAGAGCAAAGCCTTTCATAATATTTACAGTTCATATGTAAAAATGAAAAAATATGTTGTGCAAAATAATAATAAGTGCAGCTTTTAGGCCACAAATAAGGGAACAAACACCAACAACAAATGTGCCTGTAACTGAGCTTTGAACCCCAGTTTTACACACTAGTCGCTCTAACAAGTATGGAGAAAAAAGTTTCAATACAGTTTCTATACATACATACACATCACATGTGACTGCTGTATTAAGATGACTTGGAAAAATGTGAACCTATTCTATACTTTATTTAAATGATTTGCTGGCAGTAAATTGTAAGCATATGCTAGACAGGTGTTTTGCTAAGATGCCTAAATGTATTGCTGAGTCCACACTTTGCTAAACTTTTTCTTGACATTATAAATGTAAATCAGATTTTAAAAAAATATTTTGATGTTATTGTATGTCTTGATAAAGCAAATGCTACATTGCTATACATGTATTAATTGTATTTTTGTAATATGTTTTTTTGCTGCAAATAATATTTCAGGGTGAGCTGGATTGGCATAGGTCAGCTTCTGTATACAAAATATATTATTCCCATACCTTTCACAGAATAAATTCATTTCATTCAAGAAATTCTCACACAGTTTTAGTGAGAATAGATCAACTCTCAGGACACACAACCATTTGAGTTGTCTGCCTGAATTAGCACTGAACTCCATATTATTTAGTGTGCCCTACAGTAGGACAATCAAATAAGTACCGATGATTGTGCTGTCACAGTACTCAGAACTAAATGAGTCACTGTGGACTTCTGTTGTCTGAAATCTTACATCAGCATTTTGGAAATTCGCCATAATAGAACAGGTTTCCACAAATTGAAATATTATATTCTTTACACACTAGCATTATAAATGAATGTTAACATAATGTGAAGCTACAACATATACATACAACACATATACTTCTTGTATAGGTTCAATCAAATTATGACTTTGTTGTCTAACGTTCAGTATTTCTTTCAATTTTTATATAGCCAGGTATTTCTAGGACAGTATGCATTTTAAAGCACTTTTTGGTGATTTCCTTTATTCTGAATTACATAACCACAATCGAGACATTTTCCAAAAAGATTATCTGAAATATCAACACTGGTATCTGCTGATTCTAGTAAAGAAATGTTTATTTACAAATCCATCTTATAAAAAAGTAGCTTATAAGAGCTTGGTACTCTCTTGACCTTCAACAGCATTGTTTTACATTTCATGTTTGTATGCTTCATTGTTAAAGTATAGCTTACAAATCTCAAGGATTGCTTGCTGATGTTTGAACATTCTATAAAAGCCCCTTACTGGGGTTCTATGGAGGGGCTTTCAATTTGTATTCTTCATGCAAATATTGAAGAGATTAGTGCAACAATAAAATATGTATGTGAATGATGTTGGCTAGCTTTATTTTTTGGGGCACATGAATGTGCCTATTATGAAATTACTTGTGTATAAAGATGACATTTTAGGGTTGCCTTAGAGAAACGTTGCTGTTCAAACTGCCCAAAACGGAAACTATTTTCCTGGGGAGTATAAATGTGCTCAGTAAATTTCAATGTAATCTGGCCAACATTTTTAGATATGTTTGTGTACAAGTGGTCTTTAAAAGCATTATGATTCCTCCTAGATCTTTTGAGAGGATGATCAACTATAGCTAATTCTTGGATAGTTTAGCCATTAGATTTTTGAATAATATATCATGAACCTACACTACCGCGGGGTACCGCTGGAATTTGTATGACAGGTCTCATGCAATATATCCCATATAATTGGAGGTGTTCCCATTAAGTGACACAAAAATCAGGGAGGAGAGAATAGAAATTTATAGAAATACCCTCAAGCGCCTGATTTACCATGGCTGCAACAGAGGGAACTGTGACTGAGATTTAACATCAGGAGAAAGCAGGTGTAAAATTTATAGCCCTGTTATCAGTGTTGCAGCTGTTAGTCATCTGTTAGTAAGCAATAACTCAAGTAAAGGAAAAGGTAGATGACATCTCACTTCTCCAAATGAGCAAGCAAAATGTTTTCTTTGCAATCAGACATGTCTGTTAACTAGAGAATACAAAATATAAAATGGAGCAGTGGTACATATAATTTAAGCTCAAATAAATTTATTTCAAGAACACTGTAGCCTGTGCAATAAACCTGTAATTCACAGCATAGTGAAAGAACACAGCCTGTCAAACACCTGTTATTTGAAAAATTCCTTAAGTCATTTATCAAATGAGTAGTACAGATGGTTGACAGTTAATCACAATCAAAACGTAAATAAGAAGTCATTGCACTGTTTTAATAATTTTGATTTGTATAATAGAAATATTGCATTATTATTAAATCTTTGTATTTGTATTTGGTGTCAGCAAGTACTCAAATGGACTCGCCTTGAAAAAAGTGGTCTCAGTGCATTCCTGTCTATAACATATGGTAGAATCTGTTTGTTAATTATAGTTTGTAATATTAATCTTAATTTAAAAAATAACTGTCACAGTACCAGGCATTTCCTGGAATTCTCTTAACTTTACTGCTGATATATGCCCTCATCTGTTCCAGTTTCAGCACTCTCAGTTCCAGCCTTGATCACTTTCAGCTGTTTGCAGTAATGCTATCCAGAGACCATGTATTTAAAGCTGCAGCTTGCCTCTTTCATTGCTTGTTTGTTGTCAGACACTACTCCATATGGCAGGGCCAAGGGGTTTTGCCCCGGAGATGTCCCGCTTCATGTCCATTACTCTCGTTGTTTCCTCTTTCTCCACGCTGCCCCACATTGAATCCCCTATGGATGAAGTCTTAAGACTCTCTTCCCCATTTCCTCTGGTAGATTTTCTGTGCTACTGTGTTCCATTCGAGAGCTCAGCTTTGTTTTCACGTTCAGACTCATACTATCTAGGCCTCTACAGTTTATGTATATACTCCTGTCCCTCATGTTTACGTTCAGACTTTGGTTCTAAGTATAATCTAATTATTGCCAGTTTGTTGTATTGTGTATTGTTCTGCCTAGCCTGTCATTATTTCCCTTTACTTGCATTCCTGATAGTGAGTGGCTTTTGTTCATTATTAGTTCTAATTCAGAATAACCAGACTATTGTTTCTTCCCAAACAATCATTCTGTAATGATCGTATCTGATATGTTGCTGCTATATTCAGTCAATATGTGCTGTACTGGTGGTATGTCATGGTAATAGATAGACACCTAGAGGCCACTGCACAACCACAGCCACCAGGGTTAGAAGTGGAATGATGCATATACAGTGCTGATGTCAAGGAGTTAAAAACAATAATCTTAGCAATAAGTTTTTATGTTCCAGGTATGCACATCATCCAAATCCTTAAGTGTGGCCAGGGCCAGTACTTGCAGCTGATACCTTTTCATAAAATGTTATCTTAGAACAAGAGTATAGCTTCCTCTGATTTTGTTGTTGTTGTAGTTTTTCCGATGTTCCCCAATCAAAATATTCCATGTTTTTCCTATTATTTCAATTCTGTTATACAGTATATCATAACTAATACTACTGCCACTAATGATAATAATAATAATAATAATAATGTGTTTTTAGGACTTTTTTGAAAATTAACAATGATACAGCTGTAAATCTGTACGTAGGTCTGTATTCATATTGTGGTTTCTGTTACTCTGCCTACTTTCAGTGCGGCCGGCAGCTTCACAGAAGGCACCACATACCTGCATATTGAACACACTGTCTTCAGTTTTATAATAACACAGCTCAGCCAGTGAAAGAACCTGCAGGCAGATTCTGTTCGTCTGTCCTGCAAGCTCAGCCTCTGTGGTGAGTCAGGATGAACAAAACGCTTGGATGAATTCAACACCATGTCACTCACACCACAGAACAGCATGTGATTAATACAGCTGAGTCACTCACACACATACACCCCACAGAACAGGTCATGGAGCACGGTCAAACACAAGAGTGTTTGTTCACAGCCAAGGAAGCTGAATTACAAAAACGCCCACGTCAAGAGAAATAAAGTCTGATCCAGTGAACAAAAGAGTTCCTTCTGGATAACTTGTCAAAGATAATAATTATATCAAGTCATCATACTAATCACACACAGATCTGCATTGTTACAACCCAAAAAACCACCTCACCACAATGCTGCCACAGACCTAGAAATAATCCTTCAAGGCCAGACAAGCCATGAAATTTGGTTCAGACATTCCCTTCAGGATAATTGTAATAACATTGTAATCCCTTAACTTGTCTTCTGGTATCATCCTCACATTAAGACACTGGTTTGTCTAAAATACTTCTTATATTTATGAACCAATACCAAATCGAATAACATTGCCAGCAACTTAAGATGTAATTTGTGTTTAACGCTAATTAGCAAATGCTATCATATTCATATTCTGGATTAAGATGATGACACTTATTATTTATTTGTGTTCTTGCTTGCAAATGCTGAGCATGGCTGTTTCTATTCCCTGCCAAACCCCTGTCCAACTTTTACTTTATATGTCATTTTTCTCTTTCAACTGTACATATGTTCCTAACAACTACTCCCTTACCGAGAGGATGGCTCACTCTACCATTCAAAACATTCATTTAGCTAATTTCACACATATAAACACAAACATTTTAGATTTAGGATGCCATTCATTCTAGAGGGAAAATAATACATGAAAGCACACTGTTTTGGAAACTGCTTCATTATACAGTATGTCAGGACAGAGGCAAAGGGAAAAAACAAACCACAACAGAGACGAATATGTAATTTACTACTGAACCCTTCTCTTGTGATAGACAAGAAAGAGGCTGTCTCATTGATTCTCTGTGTGTGAATGCATTGTTAAAACCTTACCACATGTGACTACAAATGTAATGTTTGTTTTGGGTAGGGTCACAAAACATCAAGTTGTTTCTTTATCCAAGCAGACTAGCCTGTATTCAGTCCCAGGGCATCAAATAGTGATGCTTTGTCATAGAGCTTTTTCATTACATAGAGATGCCACCAAAGTTTGTATGCATGCACATGGTTTTTAAAACAATACAATGTGTTCACCCACTGGCTTCACTGTGTGACACCCAGAGCACAGGTCTGGTCACCCATCAACAGTGACATAGTATATGAAAAGAAAAAATTCACATTTGGAGGTGATTAGGGTCGAGTAACATCAAACCTTCCCACAGCCAAGATCATCATGGTTTGAAGGAGCTGCAGACAGAAGGACAGGAAGAGAAAAGGGCAACTCGAAGCAGGCTGGGCCACTATCAGAGGTTATGAATGGCAAACAAAGAATGTGTTCATGAACATTATGTGAATTAATAAAATATTATACAGTTCAGAGTACATTTCTTGTTTGGCTCTTTTACAATTACAATTGTTATTGTAAAAGATATTGAAACTGAAGTCTTTGTCTCAGCAGATTTACATCAGACCAGAAGTGTGTGTATTGGTGAACAATTAAGGTGGCAGAGCTCACCATCCACATCCAGACACAGCATTAATGCAGCTGAGAGGGCAGACCACGGGCACTGTAAACTGAATTTTATGCTCCAATTTTTTTTTGACATTTTAGTTTCTAAACAATTATTGATTCATATTTTGTTGCTGTTAATGTTGATTTATACTTCTATGTTAAGAAGTTACACTTTAGCTATGCAGCCTGTGCATGTAGCAACATACAGTAAAACAATCTGAAGATTCACTAACATGTTCAGTTACACATCTCTAACAAAGACATCTCCACAGCAGACCTGCTGCTCACCACAGACACCTCTGTCACAGTGAAGGTAAGAATGAAAATATAGTGACAGCAGGGAATAGAGTCCTGTTCGGTGACAAAACATGGTGAAACACCCCCTTTTTTTAGCATCAGCAATGCATTATTAAACTAAAAATAAGAACATTATGCCATAGGCATTTATGGTGGAACTCCTCTTAACTGTTTACTTTAACCAAAAGTTATATAGCAGAAGAAGGCACTGAATTAGACCTATTGGTTACCTCACTATTCTGTAATTTATTTCTGAATGCAAACAAACCATATGAGAAAATGTGATATATTACATCCACTTATCAAGCAGCTGGGGTGGCATGTTTTCTCATAACATGTCTGCTTTCCTTGTATGGTTGACACTGTAATACAAAAACCAGAGTGTGCTTTTTCAGTTGTGTTGTGAGATGTAATGAACAAGTAAGTTTAGCTTTAATTTTTACATTAACAGAATTTTAGAGAAATAGTCTAGCTGATATACTGTACAGAGCCTGTATTGGGTCCATATATCAGAAACTGTTTGTCAACCAATCATACAACTTGGTTATCATCAGATACTTAGATCAACTGGATGTCTAGTAATCACATTCTTGTTGGTGGAGATAAGAGGCTGGCAGACAAAGTTTTGACAACATGGACGCTGTACTATATTA